AACTTGGGGGTGTTCTAACTCCATTCTTCTAAAGGTACAAAGCATGTATGCGGACTTCAACTCATGAATGCTAAACACATCTGCTGAGGTGGCGTGAGCCTGTGAAACAGGCAGAGGCAGGCATGTGCTGGAAGATCTGAGGGCTTGATGGAGAGAAGTGGGTGGAAGGAGTAAGGGAGGTGTAGGGGGCAAAGTAGGACAAGGCAGAGGGGCCCTGAGGGTAGAAAGGAGAAGTGGCTGGAAGCAGAAAGTCTACACTTGAGCAGAGAGGTGGGAGGAGTCAGAGGGAAAGTGGGCCTGGAGATGCAGTTCAAGTACTGGAAAACGTCATTCGGAAACACACAACCCAAGTCTTGCAGGCAAAAGTAAGGTGGTGGGAGAAGAAGCAGGAGAGCCTATGGATGAAAATCTGTGGGACAGAAAAACATGGAAACACTTCAGAAAGGATAGGTAGATGAAAGGGACACTTGGCAAAGGGGCAAGGTAAAAGGCAGCCCAAGGAGAGCGAACAGATGTAGGGGCAGAGCCACAGAATGAATGCTGGCAGGTTGAGTGTGCTCGCTGCATGAGACAAGTCTCAACTTTGCTTGTTTTATTTTAGAGGGACCAGCAGCGAATAGCAATTACGGCTCCCTTGAGAAAATCCAGTAAACTAAGAGGTGGGGCTACCTGTGAGCTTCCCCAGGACCTCTCCCTGACTCCCTGATGCAGGCATCTTCTGGGAGAGACCTCAGCATGGAAAGCCCTGAGTGCTATGGCTGCAGTACAATGCCAAGTAAGCCAAGGGTACATGAAAGAACTCTGAAAACCATAAAGCACCCTATAAATAGGAAGCATTGTTATTCACTGAATGCCTCGGACAAAAAAAAGAAAGACCACAGTCACAATCAGGAGTGAAGAAATATTTGTCAACTACGGATATTATCTATATTCCAAATCAAGATGACCCTAACTAGAAATTCCTATTTGAGAAGACATTATGCTTGGTATGTTTACTTTCCTGTCCAATACTTCTCAACATTTAAAAACCCTACCTCAGGCATAATATGGAGCTCTTGATAAACTATCCTACTGATTTATTAAAATGGAAATCCGCAACTAATGCATTTCCAAGGAGGTTTTTGACACATTACAGATCTTAACTAATTAGGTGAATTCCATTCAATTCAATCACTCATTGAGTTATTCCAAGTGCAAGGTAGTGTACAAGCCGCCATGGGGGTTGCAGAGATGAGCAAAACAGTCTGCCTCTAACTACCTAGTTCGGTTAGTTAATCTTCTCAGTTTCCATTCAGATTGGGGCAGCTGCATCTCCTCTCACAAGTATAGAGAGAAAGCAATCTTGACATTATGTGACTACCCTACAAACTAGGAAATGCATTTTCCAGGAACACAATGAATTAAAAAGGAAAAAAAAAAAGGACTTCTTTTTTTTAATTTATTTATTTATTTTTGGCTGTGTTGGGTCTTCGTTTCTGTGCGAGGGCTTTCTCTAGTTGTGGCAAGCGAGGGCCACTCGTCATCGCGGTGCACGGGCCTCTCACTATCGCGGCCTCTCTTGTTGCGGAGCACAGGCTCCAGACGCGCAGGCTCAGTACTTGTGGCTCATGGGCCTAGTTGCTTCGCGACATGTGGGATCCTCCCAGACCGGGGCTCGAACCCGTGTCCCCTGCATTAGCATGCAGATTCTCAACCACTGCGCCACCAGGGAAGCCCAAACAAGGGACTTCTTAATACCTGGTGACTGCGGACACTGCTGTGTGTTCATTTCCATGTTCATCCTAGCCCAGTTCACGTGCAACCACTCTTGCCCTGATTGCATAACCACAGCATGTCAAGTTGTTTCTTGTTGCAATTGTAACTTGTAAAATTAAACTTCATAACTGAGGGAGTCAAGCAAAATAATTGCCTACTTTAAAAATATGTATGTATATAATTTACAGGTCACTTTAGATAAGCTCTTGATTTACGATTTCTTAAAGTCACAACTGTCACCAACTTTAAAATACAGTTTCAGTGTACAATTCTCCCTGCACACAGGCCCTATCTCTGTCTTCTCAGTTTTCCAAGTATTATATATTGATCTATTGCAATCTGCCTTTCATGGGTTTTTTTTTTTTTTTTTTTTTTTTTGCGGTACGCGGGCCTCTCACTGTTGTGGCCTCTCCCGTTGCGAAGCACAGGCTCCGGACGCGCAGGCTCAGCAGCCATGGCTCACGGGCCCAGCCGCTCCGCGGCATGTGGGATCCTCCCGGACCGGGGCACGAACCCGTGTGCCCTGAATCGGCAGGCGGACTCTCAACCACTGCGCCACCAGGGAAGCCCCTGCCTTTCATGTTTTCATGAGAGCCTAAGTAATCCCAGCTTTTACTTCTCCCAAGCTCCAAGGCTTCTAAAATTCCAAAGAAGGAACATAAGATGTCCAAAAATGCACTTGCTTGTGCCTCACAGGGTTCCAAATTCTATCGATAAGTTCACGTGAAGCTGGTGATACTTATCACACTTAAGACCCTCTGTGAATAATCTCCTGCCCTCTCCTTTTCTAATGGGTGGTACCATGATTCTTTCTCTCCAACCTGGGGCATCTCATTCCCTGACAGAAAATAGCTAGAAGAAAGGGGCCACAAGGAGCCTGGAGCAAGCCACTCAGGATGTGACAGTCAAGTCTTGCCTGGTCAAAAATCCAACACAGTGCTGAGGCACCATCAACCTGGAAATGATATTCACAATGGGACATACCACCTTCCTCCTGGGTAGAGTTTCTGCATCAGTCACAGCAAATAGTGCCAATTAATGAACAAGCTTTTGATGTGATTCTTCAAGAAGCTCAAACCACTTCAGCTGTGGCTTATTAATTCCCAGAAATCCATGCTAGATGATAAAGTGAGATCAGGGGTGAGAAGGTAAAGGGTAAATTACTAGCCAATAAAACAAAATTATCAGCTCTCTCAACCACTGAAACTGAGTCAGCTGAAAAGGGAAGCTAGAACCTCAGGATCCTTCTAGGATGAACTTTTCCTCCCTACCAACCAAGTCCAGTTTTTCTTGGGAAAAATGCCCGAATGGAGATAAGCTTGACAACAGAAGCACCCCACTCCTTCGCAGGCATCTGCTCATCCAAGTGCTGAGTCCGCTTGTCTTTGTCGCTTTTCCGAGTAGCCCTCTGGAGCTGCTGGTTCTCCGAACCCAGTTTGCACAGCAGGAAACACTAAGGGAGGTTACATTTCAATGCTGCATTTCTGATCCATGAACTGCTAGTTTAATGCAGATAAATACACTCAGCTGTCCTATCACTGGCACTTACTACTTTATAAGCAGCAAAAGAAAAATAGATAATTAAGTCTAAATTAATTTCCATGCCTGATCAATGGCATTTCCAAACAGCCAACACAGAACATGTTCTATTGATCCTACAATCCAGCTCTAGAAGTATGAAAAAGGGGGGGAAACCCCCAGATTGAGCATCTTGAACTTAAAGACCCTTCAGAAACATCACCTTCTCCCCCCAAGAAAGCTAGAGTAGCCCAGGCCCACTCTACCCATAATTTTTTTCGATCCTGGTACATCCCAATTCTACCAACTGAAAGCTTATTCCATTAGGTGGAAGGTGAGCCCAGCCCATGAAGTAAGGAACTGTTCATAAGATCTGTCTGTGTAATGAACGTGTCATTTCCCCAAACTGCCCAACTATTTCCTTAAAAAAAAAAAAACAAAAAAAACTATTACATGGAATTTATGGTGTCAGTCCCCCTCCCAAAGTCTGAGTCAGAGTATATGTGTCTTTAGTGAAGTTCTGGGTGACCAGGGTGTATCACTTTCAGACTTGCTCCAATAGCTGAACTTAGGGCCGTCTTCCAGCCACGGTACAAAATAAGCAACTATCTATTTTAAAACAATTTTCCTACCTCACATGCGATGGGAGATACCTCATACATAGGTCGTCAACTTCCTACTGGAAAACAATCACTTCTATCGCAAACTGTGTTTGTCACCTCCCAGGATTTATGCGTGTTTATGTGTATATATTTTTATCCTTGACCGTGCAACTCTTGGAGCAGAGATAGCCACCCCAATTTTTACCATCGTGCCTGAAACAATTCAGAGCTTTATAAGAGGGATGAATGGGAGATGAAAGGCTCTAAGCCCAGGGGCTTCTCTCACACAAACAGTAAGTAGAAAAAAAAAAAAAAAAATCCCTCCGACGAGGGGGTGGGGGCAGGGTGGAAGACCGGCGAAGGACGTCAGGCAACAAACCAGAGGCAGCTGCGGCGGCCGCACTTCGCGAACTGCCTGCAGAAGGGAGTGAAATCTTTCCCCAGTACAATAACCAGGCACCCTCTGGCTGCCTCGCATGGGCACGAATAATAAATACATCGAGGTGGGCAAATCGTTGCATCGAGACAAGTCACCCCAAAAAGGTCAAAACTTCAGAAATCCCGGGGATCACGGCACCCACACAAACACATCAATCAGTCGGAGCGGGAGAAGAGACTCGGAGATTTAGCAGGGAATTCTGAATTTTGCTTTTTCTTTCAAGCTCTGGCTTGCAAAGTACGGCGGCTACAGGCAAAGCTCGAGAGGAGCAGGAAAGGCTGAGGGCGGCGGGGAGTGCGGATGGGAAGGGAGGGGAGTCGAATCCCAGACACCCAGGCCTCAATGTGACGAAAGTCGTCAGCAGCCCCAACCGCATCCCAACCCCTCCGCCCCGGCCAGCAGACGCCCCCAGCAGCTCCCCCCAACCCCAGCTTCCGTCCCCGCCAGCCCCGCAACCGCAGCGGCGGCGGCGGCAGCGGCAGGAGCAGCAGCAGCAGCAGTAGCAGCAGCAGCCCCGGCCCGGGCCGCGCGCGCCGGCAGCGCCACGACCGCGGCTCCCATCCCCGCCGCGCGGCAGGCACCCCGCAGGCCTCCCTCACAGCCCACCGGGGCGCGCCCGGAGCGGAACCCGGGCGGGCTGCGCCGCCAACTCCCCCCGCCCCAGGTCGGCGTGGGCTCACGCTTACCTTGGGCGCTCGCGGGGGGGGCTGAAGGTGGTAAGCCTCCCGCCCCCCGCCCGGATCCTCCTCGCTTGTTTTCTTCCTCCCTTCTCCTCCTCTTCCTCCTCCTCCCCACAGTGAGTCCGGGTCTCCCCCTCCTCCCAGACGCCGGGAGTAAGAGCCGAAACCCCCGAAGCCCGGCCCGCGTGCGTGCGTGCGGGAGGCGGCGGCGCGCGGCCAGCTCTTCAGTATCTGAGCGCGGCGCGCGGCTCCTAACTAAAGTGTGAAAGAAGCGGCGGCCGCTGCACGGAACGTCCCCGTGGGAGTGGGCAGGGAGCAAGCCGGAGCTGGTGGGGAGCGAGCGAGCGAGGGAGGGGACCTGGAAAAAGGGAGGGGGAGGGAGGGAGGGGACCTCCTCGCCCAGTCACTCACTCGAGGGGCGGGGGCAGCCAGACACTCCCCCACCGCCGGCCCCTCCCCGCGCCCGGCTCCCGCGCGCGTCCAGCACCCAGCCTCGCCCCTGGGAACGGCCTGCGGAGGCCGCGAGGGTGCCGCGCACCCCGGAGAAAGGGACCAGGAGAGCGGGTCTGCCAGGGCTGCAGAGAGGGAAGGAGGGTGAGGACGGGCGTGTGTGTGTGAAAGCTGCGTCCTGGGCCTGACACCCGGGCGGTGGCGTGGAAGCCACGGGGCAGCTCGGAGGCCGGGGCGGCCCAGCTTTGCGGGAAACCCAAGCCAGCCCTTGGGCCCAGCCGCGGGGCTGCGCCTGCTGGAAGCAGAGGGAGGGAAGGCCGGGCATCCTCGCCGCGCCGCGCGGCCCCTCCCTTCGCTGGACCGGCGGGCGCTGCCCAGCAGCCCTGGCCCCTGCCCCGCTACCCTGCCCTGGAGCCGCGGCGCCTGCAAGATGAATGAAGCGTCGGCCACTGGGCAGAAGCTGCACTGGGGAGGGGAAGAAGACACCGCCTGAGACTTCGCGCCCTGCGCCCCCTCTTTGCTCCTCCGGCCTCTTGGGACTAAAGGGCGGAGGCCGCGCCTGCAAGGCGCGTTTGGGATGATTGGGGATCCACAAAGATCGCCGCCCACCATTTTACCTGCTCAGTTTTTTGTGGACACTCACAAGAGGTCAACCAGTTTCTCACCCTCTGGGAGAAGGTATTTTTTCTTCTTTTCCTGGGCATACTGGGTGTTTCGTGTGCGCCCTGAATTGATCTTTCAACATTGATAGTGGTTGGATGTCTTTTGTGTGGCTTCCCCGCGCTTCGCTGCTCCTGCATTGCCCTAGACACGTGAGGAATGCCAGGCCTCCAGAGTGAGGACACCCAAGAAAACAAAAGGGGCAAAAGATCCTCCCTGGGTCCCGTGGATTACACACAAACCGAATCATTTCTTACTTTGAGCCAAGATGAAGTTGGAAAACAGGAAAGGACACATCGGAGCTGTGACAGTGATGAGACACTTACTTGAAAAGCAAATTCATAATTTAGTTTAATGAAATGAGTTAATAACCCACCCATAATGTCTAGGAAGTTGGCCTTTTTGAGCAAAAAGAAAAAAGAAAATGGTTTTCCAGTGTTTTTACTTTTTTAATTTGAAAGGCTGGTATCACATTGTTTTTGAAACTCCTTTGTATTCCATTTTTTTTTTAATTATCCATATTCTAGTTTATTTTTCTCTTTGGAACCAGAACTCTTTGTAATCTGGCCTCCCGAAGAGGAGTGGTTTAGAAGGGCTGGTAGGCTAATTAGGATTCCAGTCAGGCACTGCAGCCGCCATCTCTGTTACCTTAGGTGACTTGTTATTTCTTTCAGCCTTCCTTCCCTCATCTGTAAAATGGGATTGGTGATACTAGTTCCTATCTCATAGGCATGTTGTCAAAATAAAAGGAAAATAAAATGAGGTGGCAATGCATATAAAAAACTTTGCATAATGCCTGACACATGGTAAGAACTCAATAAATATGAGCTGTTCTTTCAAATATATAGTTTAATCCCAGATTTGGTAATTTGGTAGACTTTTTTTTTTTTTCTCTTTGCATTCCTTCTTAAAGTTGGGAGTGAAAATCCATCTGCTAGGTTTATCCAAATGTAGTCAACATTTCTCTGGGGTTTTTAGGCCACTCCTAAAAACCTCCTATGGTAAGATGAAAGAAGTATATCACTAAGATGTGTGTGTGTGTGTGTGTGTTTATTTACATATAATTCTATATAAAAGGATGCTTGAGGATAACCAGGTTTTTCTCCTTCCCCAATTCTCTCCTTCCCTCACTACCACCTGAATAGACCAAGCTCTATAAATGTTGACCTGTGTTGTAATCTATCTTTTCAGGGCTCAGAACAGTGACTGGCACCATAGATTTCTTGAGAGCAAGGTAATGTAGGTCTCCTCTGAATTGATATCCTCAGAAGTAACGGAAGGCCACAGAGCAAGCACTCCATAAATGTATAAGTTTACAAAATCCATACTATGAACTTTTAAAGCAAGTTTTTAATTATTCAAAATAATACATGTTCACTGTGGAAAAATTTCAGAAACTCAGCCAGGTATGAAGGAAATAAAAATCACCATAATCCTACCCTCCAGAGAGAAGTACTCAGTAAGTGCTTCAAGTATATCCATTTTCCCTTCATTTATTTCATTATTATTCAATCAGCAAACGTTTGTTAAGAACCTAGTTTAGGGACCAGACATCTTCCCAGGGCTGAGAACAGGTGGTATGTTGTGTTAATTCTCACTAGAAACTACTCCTTAGAAGCAACATTTTATGTGGTAGTAAGGTTCTCAGGATAGTCACAGAAGTCCATGAAAGGAATCCCATAATTAACCTATAGTGCTGACCAGAAACAATCCAGGTTTTGTAGGGTTTGAATCACTTACAATTTGGGGAGCCACTTCCTTAGATAAGGAAGCTAAAAGTGCAAAAGCCCCCTGGGAAAGGCTCATGTGAATAAGGTGTCGTGGAACTTAAGCCCTTTTTGCCTCTCAGTAAGCCCTGTTTGGTGCTGGTATTTCTGTAGAAATTAACTGCTCTGATAAACATTTTTTTTAATGTGAACATTCATTTCTCATTTACCTGGGATCCCTGGGGCACCATTCCTTTCTCCCCCAAATGTGGAGGACATGGGAGTGGAGATTCCCTTCACCACCACAACCATGACACACACACATTTTCTTTCTTTTTTTTGTTTTTTGGGCCTTGCCAGGGGGCATGCAGGATCTTAGTTCCGAGACCAGGGATTGAACCCTGCAGTGGAAGCTTGGAGTCTTAACCACTGGACCGCCAGGGAAGTCCCCTGCACACACATTTTCTTGCACGTAGCCACAGCAGGGGCAGTGGGACCATGGGGATTCAGGTAAGGACTGCAGAAGAGAGGGTAGGAAGGGTACAGTGGGAGGCGGGGTGCAGACAGGATGGGCCTCTGAGGTGCTGCAGAGGCTTAGGTATGTACCCTAAACCAGTGGTCCTCAACCTTTGTGGTACCAGGGACTGGTTTTGTGGAAGACAGTTTTTCTGTGGGGGGGTTTGGGCAGTGAGGCAAGCAATGGGGAGCAACGGGGAGTGGCAGATGAAGCCTCAATCACTCGCCAGCCGCTCACCTCCTGCTGTGCGGCCCTGTTCCTAACAGGCCGAGGATCGGTACCAGTCCATGGACCGGGGGTTGGGGACCCCTGCCCTAAACCACACAGCAGGAGTTGCCTGCACATCTGTTTGGTCAGCACAATCTCAATCTACTATACATTTGTATTAGACTGTGCTAATTACTTCACCCCTCTGTGCTTATGTATCTTCAAACACTCTAAATACAATTTTCAAAAAAAAAAAATCTCTTTTGCCCAGAAAAGTTAAGTTTTAACCTTCAAAGGCACTTCTTTCATAACTGATTTTCTTTTATTTCTAAAGCTTTAACTTATAAATATTTGGCTCTATAGAACCATTTATAACACATAAGTTTGAAATTTTTGTTTCTTATGTTTCTTTTAAGTACAGCGTTATGGATTGAATGTTTGTATCCCCGAATTCATACGTTGGAGCCTTAATCCCCGATGCTGGTGGTATTAGGAGGAGGTAGGCCTTTGGGAGATGAGGTCATGGTGGGGAGCAGGAGGCCTCATGGTGAGATTAGTGCTCTTATAAGAAGAACCCAGAGAGCTCTCCTCCACTCCGCCTCTCCCCACCCAGAACACAAGCAAACCGGGAGAAGGGCCCTTACCAAGAACTTGACCATGCTAGCACTTTGATCTCAGACTTCCAGCCTCTAGAACTGTGAGAAGTAGATATATCTTGTTTAAGTTACCCAGCCTGCGGTATTTTGTTTTAGCAGCCCAAACTGACTAAGACATATAGGGTCCCTTTACCACTGACTGTAAAAAAAGAAACCAATGAAAGTACAGGTTGATTGAATAAAAGATAGTAAAATCTATACACTGCTGCCTCCTATAATTTCTCATATGAATTTAAATGAATTCAATTTATGTGATTTCTTTTTTCTTTTTTCTTTTTTTTTTTTTTGCGGTACACGGGCCTCTCACTGTTGTGGCCTCTCCCGTTGCGGAGCACAGGCTCCGGACACACAGGCTCAGTGGCCATGGCTCACGGGCCCAGCCGCTCCGCGGCATGTGGGATCTTCCCAGACCAGGGCACGAACCCGTGTCCCCTGCATCGGCAGGCGGACTCTCAACCACTGTGCCACCAGGGAAGCCCTATGTGATTTATTTTAAAAAAGCTTCCAATCTGGTTAATTTTTCTGAATAATCAAGTCAAAAGTAGCTTTGGCAGGATTATTCAGAAACAAGTGATCCTAAAATAAGTACTACTCTGAAATGTGCTTTCTTTGTACTTGCTCCGTGCAATAAGAGCTAACACTGATTGTCTGCTGTGTGGTAAGCATGGTATTATGTAATTCATAATGTACATGAGCTAACTCACTTCATCTTCCCGGCAAAGCAATCAGAGAGATATGAATATTATCATCATTCCCATGCAGATGTGGAAATGGAAGCACAGAGGGGTGAGTTAATTAGCACAAGGCCAAGATTGATTTTCATCAGTCAAATGCCAGAGCCTACATTCTTAACTGTTGGAAACATGTTTTCTCTTCAACCTCTCCCATTTTTATACCTCAGTCTAACTCCTACAATGGCTGAAGAACCCCAGCCTCTGAGTTTCTGAACCTTTGGAAAATCCATAGTTGCTCTCACTTGCTGAAATTTTACAGACTTATACTACTGGGGTCCTTCCATATCTTTATGGTGGCATCAAGATCAGTAGCTATTGATTTGAGACTAGATAGTTGTGTGTGTGTGTGTGTGTGTGTGTGTTTAAATCTTCTTTGGGGGTACCACAATGCACATTAC